TAGATTCTCATCTTCTCCCTCGTCTCTAGATTGATTGGCTGAACAGGTTCTTGGAGTTGATGTGGCCTTATCTTAACAAGGTACTCTTATCTTGTCATTTGCTCTGAGACAGCACAAGATCATTATCTCTGGTTGACACTGAATTTGCCATGCTTTGTGTTTTGTTTTTATCCTGTAGGCTATCTGCAGAACTGCACAGGATATCGCGAAGCCAATTATTGCTGAGAATACTGCAAAGTATAAGATAGACTCTGTTGAGTTTGAAACACTTACTTTGGGTAGCTTACCACCCACCTTCCAAGGTCAGCAGTGTTGCATTCTTATGTTTCCCTTATAAGCATGCACATGTATTTCACCTGGTTTTTAGGCCTTACTTTGAACTATAATATTTATTAGATGCCACATATTGTGCATGACTTCACTGCAAGCAGTCATGCGTCTTTTATGTTGCTTCCTTCTTTTGTCCTGGTATCTTGAGTTACCATTATAGGTTCGTGAGTGGTAAAATCAACCCTGATTGGTAAAATAGCTGTGGCCATAGTTCATAGTTGTTAAAATCGTGATTCTATTGCATGATTTTATGACTTTGCGATGTCAGTTTATCAACTTGATTCTATGATTATGCAAGTAGAATCTACGATCTTATGGTTCTAATAGTTATGATCTTATGATTTGCAATCCTACCATTGGAATTCCAATCCAATTCAAGATTATGATTTTAACAACCTTAGTTGCAGTGGCGGAGGGTGAAGTAAAACCAGGGAGGGGGGGTGGAGGGGGCAATTTACATGAACACGTAGTCAAAATGTATTCAAAAAAGCTTTGCAATCGCTAAGATCAGGAATATGTAACTAAATATGAGAGAGAAAGGTGTGCTTGTGATCCTTGCATGCATGGTGACATGAAGATACCTTGGTAAAGTTACATGCATGTATGACTTAATCACTGAAAAACTTTACAAAGCAAGGTGGGGCTGGAGCCCAGTTTGGCCGCCACTAGCTCCGCCCCTGCTTAATTGTGGCTCAAAACTTTTTATTACTGATGATATGAGATGTGGTCATGTGGAGACACTGCTACAACTATGTTCTAGATGAGCTGCTATATATTGAGTATATTGAGTTTAAGATTGAATGTTTCATTCCTTAGTGATAGGTCATAATCACCAGTTCACCACACCTTTTGCTTGGCTATGTACAACTGGTGAAGTTTATACATCAACTTTCCCATGTATGGCATAGCGAACTCTGTACACAAGCTTATGTTAAGTTTGCCTATATGTGATGCTAATTTTTAAACTGCTGTTGCAAATATGTATTTTGAAGCAATTCATGCCTTTTCCTCCCAGGGATGAAAGTCTATGTCACAGAGGAGCAAGAGCTGATAATGGAACCATCTCTTAAATGGGCTGCAAACCCAAATATTACTGTTGTTGTAAAAGCCTACGGTTTGAAAGCTACTATCCAGGTATGAAATATTTGGTCGTAAGCTGGATTTGTAATTGATATTCACTTAATCATTTGTCGAGTTGAGTCGAGCCAACTGAAATATGCTTTTTTTGAGATATTTCAGATTGTGGATCTTCAAGTCTTTGCATCACCTCGTATTACTCTGAAGCCATTGGTGCCTACATTTCCCTGCTTTGCAAAAATCCTTGTCTCGCTCATGGAGAAGGTATGGCAACTGATTTTTCGTTTGAATTATTCTGGTGTTTGTGTTTGAATAATCCTGGTCCACCATTTGTTTGCTAATTGTGATTGGTTTTGCAGCCACATGTTGACTTTGGGCTAAAACTTCTTGGAGCAGATGTAATGGCTATTCCTGGTCTTTACAGATTTGTTCAGGTATTTGTGACTATCGTTTCAAACTTTCTCATGTGAGATAAATGTTAAAGTTCCATTAGGCTTTCTGAACATCCTAATGGTTTTTGTTGCACTATCATTAATAGTTTCATTTTAAAAAGAAATTATGAATATATTATTATTTCCCTCTCATTTTGTTCATTTATTCCTGACTCCTGTTTCAAACATTCTCATGTGGAAGTTTGTTCATATTTTACACTTTGTTGTGAGCAATGTTGAAGTTCCATTATGTTTTCTGAACATAGTAAATGTTTTTTGTGGCACTGTCATGAATGGTTTTATTTTAAAAAGAAATTATAAAAACATTATTTCCCTTTTTTCGGAACGATGATATACGTGACCGTCTAGGGGTAGCACCAATTGAAGAAAAGCTTGTCTAACATCGGTTGAGGTGGTTTGGCCATGTCCAAAGGAGACCTTCAGAAGCACCAGTGCGTTGTGGAGTTCTAAGTCGAGATATTAATGTGAGAAGAGGTAGAGGAAGACCGAAGCTAACATGGGAGGAGGCAATTAAAAGAGATTTAAAGGGTTGGGATATACTTAGAGATCTTTATTTGGATGGGAGTGCTTGGAAAATAGCTATTGACGTGCCTGAACCGTGACTAGGGGCTCATGTTGGGTTTCAACTCTAGCCTACCCCAACTTGCTTGGGACTAAAAGGCTTTGTTGTTGTTGTTGTATTATTTCCCTTTTAATGGTCACATCATACTTCTAATGTGATTATCTGGCCTGTTCCTGTTATTGTCCTGCATTTCTTTAAACAAATGCATTTGTGTACCAAAAGCAGCATTTCTATACTTTGATGGTTGGTCACCTGGATTTAAAGTGTTATTCTTCTGTAGTGTCTAGTTTGCTCTTTACAGTGGATATGATGTGTGGTATCTAATTCACTCCTTTCAGTACAGTTAACTCATTTTTGTAATGATACCTTTCCTGCATTTACAGGAGACCATCAAGAAACAAGTAGCAAGCATGTATTTGTGGCCGAAGACGCTAGAAGTACCTATAATGGATCCCTCAAAGTAAATTTTTAGTACCTCTTCTATTTTCGTTATGTACATCAAAACCTGTATCTGATGAGAAAGGAGTAAATGGTTTTCATATTCCCAGGGCATCAAAAAGGCCTGTTGGTATTCTACTTGTGAAGGTTGTAAGAGCCCAAAATCTGCGGAAGAAGGATCTGCTGGGTAAATCTGACCCATATGTGAAACTTAAGATGTCAGATGATAAACTTCCATCCAAGAAGACAACTGTAAAGCGCAGCAATCTCAATCCAGAGTGGAATGAAGAATTCAAATTTGTTGTGACAGATCCAGAAAATCAGGCTCTTGAAGTTAATGTCTTCGATTGGGAACAGGCATGGCTTCCGTTCTATTTAAATACTGCTGTAGTTTTTCTGCCAACATAATTACCAAACAATATGCATTTTTTTTTGTTATTTATAGGTTGGGAAACATGAAAGGATGGGAATGAACATGATCCCACTTAGAGAACTCCCACCAGAGGAGACTAAAGTTACTACCCTCAACTTGCTTAAGACCATGGACCCAAATGATGTACAAAATGAGAAGTCTCGTGGTGAGCTTACTCTAGAGCTCACATACAAGCCTTTCAAGGAAGAAGATATGGAGAAAGAAGATACAGAGGGTGCTGATGTGATAGAGAAAGCTCCAGATGGTACTCCAGCTGGTGGTGGCTTGCTTTATGTTATTGTTCATGAAGCCCAAGATCTTGAGGGGAAGCACCATACGAACCCATATGCAAAAATAATTTTCAAAGGCGAGGAGAAGAAAACAAAGGTATTATGTAAACAAATTATGTTTTATATATCTTCATGGAATGGCCATGACATATCTCTCTCTTTATTTACTCTTCATCCCCTGCACTAGGTCATCAAGAAGAATAGGGATCCAAGATGGGAGGATGAATTTGAGTTCGTGTGTGAGGAGCCTCCTGTAAATGATAAACTGCATGTTGAAGTCCTAAGTAAAGCAGGGAAGAAAGGGCTGATACATGGCAAGGTAGAATGGAATTCTTACCCTCCATTTAATTTACTAATCTACTACATCCTCCTGGTTGCCCTGTCACCAGATGATTGAAGAATGGTTGATACTTACTCCTGGCATTACGACTATATCACTAGTTGTTGCATTAGCTTTTTGGAACCTCTGCTTTCCTGTAGCATGTAGAAGCAGAATCCGAAGAGGCAAATATCAAGTCTTGTATCCTAATACCTGTATTTCTTGGTCCAGGAAACTTTGGGCTACATTGATATTAGCCTTGCAGACGTGATCAGCAACAAGCGGATTAATGAAAAGTACCATCTCATAGACTCAAAAAATGGTCAGATCCAAATCGAGTTGCAGTGGAGAACTTCCTAGACAAGAAAGAGACAGAATGCCTGAATGTAGTACATATGAATGTTCGTATGACCTTATATTCAGTTTGCAGATATCTGTGATTGAGATTGAGCTCATGTAGATATTTCCTTTGTTTATAGACATCTGCTGTTCAGAATTCAGATCTCTCAATTGCTCAAATTTCCGAGAACTATGTACTCATGTTATAGACCCTGGAAATGGAACTGAACTTTTTCTTTGACTAATGACAAACCATACTAGTACACTCAGCATTCTGGCATACTGAGAATTTACAATATGCTCCAAATATGTTTCACTGGTAACTTATACGAGCATTTAGCGTGTGACGTGTGGCATGACTACCGAAATGGTTCAGTCCTCTCGATGAACTTGCAAAGTTGTAAAGCCCCAATTAGAATTCACTGACCGTATACTACAAATATAATTTAGGCGCGGGAAAACAACAATTGCGACAAGGGCGGCCCATTTCTGAATTGCGACTGCTGTTATCAGTCACCATCCGAATCTCAGCTCATGACATAAAGTTCATACCTTCTGATTAAAAAACCAGAACTGAGCCTTTTCGAACCTGCGGGCAAGAGATTATCTCTACCAAAAAGGAAAAGAAGGCCTCAAGTTCAATTACTTGGTGTAAATGAACTTGACGGGAGCCTACTATAGTGCCATTAGAATCGGATAACAGCCACACAAAGGTTGCAAGGTATTATGGTTACTAGAAATCTAGGACTGTATACATTTTATACATTGAGACAACATTGCTTCAGGTCAACAGCCTCTTCACGTCGAGGATCCGGTCTGAGCTTCGCTTGAAGTTGTACACCGACTCAAATGCCTCCATGCAGACACTGGCGAAGCCTGTCATCGCCTGGAAAACGTTAGGGAAGCCAGTCTGCAGGTTATTCAAGGTCATTGCTCTTGTGACCCCAATGCTCTTCTCATACTTGCTCTTCTCCTCATCAGCGTGGCTCCTCAGAGCCTCAACCTTTGCCCGCTTGTCAGATACTGGTGATTTTCGTGACATTTCTCTGTAATCTTCAGCACCAATATATGACCCATATTTTGACTCTAGGGATCTCAGCTCCTCTGCCTTCTTCTCAAATTCTTTGAATACAGACTCTGACCTCTTCTTCTGCTTCTGTTCCTCAGCTTGTTGAATGACAACAGCATGGATCACTGTTAGGAGAGTCTTGATCCCTTCCGAGGCCACCTTATCTGGGATTCGGTCGATGGCTAGCTGCCATTCCTCACACAAGCTATAAATATCTGAGTTCTGAGCTTTAGTCAGTGGGTCATGATGGCAGAACAGTGATAAGCGAAGCCAGCCGGTCAGTGAGTAGACATAGTCCCTCTGGGATTTCACCAGACTACAGAAGGCTGAATACCACCTGTCAACCTCTATCTCAAGCTGAAGAGCTGCTTGCCGGTGGACATTGGAAGTTGGGTTAGTATTCCGAGCATTGTTGAGGTACTCCAGCTGCTGCACGATGTGGGTCTGAACTTGATGACACTCGTACATACCCCTCCACATGCTCATCAAGCTGCATTTCACAAAAAACAAGCACACATGAGAATGGCAAAAACAAAAAAATCAAAACTTCTCAAGAAAGGAGAGCTAACAGCCTGAGTTCAATGGATTTGACATATTTACTGTATCAAAAGATTTGCTGATATTTATGGGAAGCTAGTTGGAGGTGAGAACTAGTTGCAAACAATCGACACCCCCTTTAAGGTTCTAACATCACCGATGCCCAGGCTGATCAGGTAATGGTGCCTGACAGCCTGAGATCAATGGTCAGAAGATTCAATCAGAACAGTCAAAACTCCAGGACTCCACTAGCTCAGCAATACTTTAAAGGTTTATTCAAATCAATAAAAGGTACCTTGCACAGTGACAAAGCTACTTTTCAAAGCCAAAAAGAAAAACGGCAATATGGTGTGAGGCAGTGGCTAATGAACAAACTGAGGGTTTAGCCTAGTGCTTACCCATGTATCTAGTTATCTACTTAGCTATTTACTATTCACTGTCTAGCTGTTTTCAGGTGCCTTAGCATCCAAGCTAGCATCTACTTTATACACTAGAATATGCTGTAGTAGTTGAGAACTTCTTGTATCCCAAGTTTGCTTTTCCTATATAATGCAATCAAGCGGCTAAGAGACAAGCTGCCCTCTGGCAGGAGAAATTCCACTTGTCTAGCTACTTACTTGCAACAATTGGCATCTAGAGCCTGGTTAGGAGAGGGCAGAAGCCATGTCCACCTCCAGCAAGCGTGCCCTGAGAGCAGCAGCCGCCGCCGCAGCCGCCAACACAGGCGGAGGAGTGGTGGACAATCTTGGCGCCGATTGAGCGGAGCGCCTGGCCGCGGCAGAGGCCGCAGCCGCGCAGGCGATCAAGGCGGCCAGGCAGGCAGCGGCAGCAGCCCAGGCAGCGGCCAACACGGCCGCCGCGCTACGCGCGGAGTTGGAGCGGCAGCCCAGGGAGCCGTCACGGAGCCCGGTGCGCCGCCGGATCCCATCGCCATCTCTGGAGCGCCGTCGGGGACGCGGAGGCCGTCGCGGGTCGCCAGCGGCCGTCCAGACGGTGTACAAGGACTCCGGCACGAGGACGCCATGGCCGATGCTGACAAAGACCAACTACCACGAGTGGAGCCTGCTCATGAAGGTGAAGATGCAGGCGCGCCAGCTCTGGGACACCATCGAGTACGGCGACCTCCCGTACCACGACGATCGGCGCGCGCTCGAGGCCATCATTGCCGAGGTGCCACCGGAGATGGGTGCACCGCTTGCGGACAAGGCGACGGCCAAGGAGGCGTGGGACTCCATCGCCGCGGCGCGCATCGGCGTCGACCGCGTCCGCCGCGCCACGCTGCAGCGACTGCGCAAGGAGTGGGAGAACCTCGCCTTCCGTCCCGGTGAACAGGTCGAGGACTTCACCCTCCGCCTCTCCACGCTGAAGCAGCAGATGGCCCGCCACGGTGACAAGGACCTCGACGAGGAGCGGGCGGTGGAGAAGCTTCTTCGTGCGGCACCGAAGATGTACGCCCAGCTGAAGATCGCGATCGAGACCCTCCTTGACTTCCAGGGCCTCACCATCGAAGAGGTCACCGGAAGGTTGAAGACGGTGGACGATCTCGAGGAAGAACCTCTGTCCGAGCCCACCTCCGTCGGCGGGAAACTAATGTACACCGAGGAGCAATGGCTCGCTCGGCAGAAGCAGAAGAAGAAAGGAGGAGATGGCTCCGGCTCGTCCAGCTCGTCCAAGGAACCCCGTCGGCGTCCTCGCGGCGGCAGGAAGCAGAAGCCCAAGGGCGACCGTGGCGGCGGCGGCCAAGGAGGAAAGGCTGGTGGCGCCGGCGGCGAACGCAAGGCAAACCGCTACGGCACTTGCCTCAACTGCCATCGCGCCGATCACTGGGCGATGGATTGCCCTCAGCCTCGACGCGAGCGTGGCGGCGCGGCGCATCTCGTGGAAGCGGATGACGACGAGGCGGCTCTATTTCTCGCCCATGGCTTCCTGGAGCTGGAAACTAGGGAGGCATCCTCTGCTCCAAGGCTAATGCCAACCTCGACATCGATGAACCCCGGGCTCGTGCGTTCCTCAACATCGGCTCCGGCGAGGACAAGTTGGATGACTAGTACCTCGACAGCGGCGCTACCCACCACATGACCGGTCGTCGCGAACTCTTCTCCGACCTCGACACCTCTGTTCGCGGCTCGGTGCGGTTCGGCGACGCATCAAGGGTGGAGATTCAAGGCGTCGGCTCGATCGTGTTCCAAGCCAAGACCGGCGAGCACCGAGTCCTGCACGGCGTCTACTTCATGCCGGCGCTGCGCAACTCCATCATGAACCTCGGCCAGCTCGACGAGGGCGGGTCCAAGGTGGAGATCGACAAGGGCGTCCTACGCATCTGGGATCGCCGCGGGCGCCTCCTCGTCAAGGTGAACCGCGGGCCTAGCAGCCTCTATGTCCTCCATCTTGAGGCCGTGAAGCTGCTCTGCCTCGCCGTGAGGAAGGACGACGTTGCCTGGCGCTGGCATGAGCGGTTCGGCCACCTCCACTTCAAGGCGTTACACCAGCTTGGCAAGTAGGCTATGGTGCGCGGCATGCTGGTGACCAAGCACGCCGAACAAGTCTGCGACACCTGCGTCACGACGAAGTAGCGTCGGCGCCCCTTCCCTCAGCAGGCCCAGTACCACGCGCAGGAGCTGGAGCTCGTCCACGGCGACCTTTGCGGTCCCGTGACGCCGGCGACTCTAGGAGGGCGGCGCTACTTCCTCCTGATGGTGGACAACGCGTCCCGCTTCATGTGGGCCGTCCTGCTGCCGTCCAAGGATGCTGCCGCAGACGCCGTCAAGAAGATTCAGGTCGCGGCAGAGAAGGAGAGCGGTCGCAAGCTCCGGGTGCTACGCACCGACAACGGCGGCGAGTTTACCGTCGCGGAGTTCGCCGACTACTACGCGGGAGAGGGCATCCGGCGCCACTTCTCGGCACCTCACTTGCCGCAGCAAAATGGCGTGGTGAAACGCCGGAACCAAACTGTGGTGGCCACGGCTCGGGCGTTGCTGAAGCAGAGGAGGATGCCGGCCAAGTTTTGGGGGGAGGCGGTGATGACGGCAGTCCATCTGCTCAATCGCTCACCGACGCGGAGCTTGCAGGGCAAGACCCCCTATGAGGCCTAGCACGGGCGCATGCCAGCGGTAGGCCACCTGAAGACATTTGGCTGCGTCGCCTACACCAAGGATCTGGGGCAGCTCCACAAGCTAGATGATCGTGGCAAGCCCGGCGTCTTCATCGGGTACGCGGAGGGAGCCAAGGCGTACCGCATCCTGGACCCTGCAACGCAGCGTGTCAGGATCAGCCACGACGTCATCTTTGACGAGGGGCGTGGCTGGGATTGGTCAACCCCGGACGCCGGCAGCTCAGCCGCAGCGGCGAGCAACTTCATCGTCGAATTCTGGGAGACTGGAGGAGCCGAGGGAGTACAAGATGCTTCTCCAGTGGCGGCTGGAGCTACATCGCCGGCGCCATCACACTTTGCACCGCGCTCGCCGTCACAAAATCCGGGGGAGCCCGGAGGGACATCGGCAGCAGCGGTCGCTCCTCCAGCACCCCAGCCAGCCTCGCCAACGCCACCGCCAGCGTCCCCTGCTGCTCCTACTGCTTCACCGGTATCACCAGCGGCAGCAGCTGTGGCTGGAGACCAAGTGGAGTTTGCCACTCCACTGGAGGATGATGAAGACAGACTCAACGCCTACTACGACGACGAGACGCTGCAATACCGCACAATGACGAACATCATCGGCGACCATCCTCCGCCTCCGCCACCTCAACACCTCTTCGCCGAGCTTCACCTCACACACGCCGGCGAGCCTGCCAACTACGCCGAGGCCAAGGATGATCCGGCATGGCGGGCGGCAATGGAGCAAGAGCTCAAGGCGGTGGAGCAGAACCGGACCTGGGAGCTGGTGCCACTCCCTGCCGGTCACCGGCCCATCACCCTAAAGTGGGTGTTCAAGCTCAAGAAGGATGAGCTGGGCGCGGTGATCAAGCACAAGGCAAGACTTGTGGCGCGCGATTTCGTTCAGCAAGAAGGGGTGGACTACGACGACGCGTTTGCTCCGGTGGCGCGCATGGAATCCGTCAGGGTCCTCCTCGCGCTGGCGGCTCAAGAAGGCTAGCACGTCCATCACATGGATGTCAAATCGGCCTTCCTCAACGGCGACCTCAAGGAGGAGGTATACGTGCAGCAGCCGCCCGGCTTCGCCGTCGCCGGAGAAGAGGGGAAGGTCTCATCGCCTCCGCAGGCTTCTCTGACTGCTCTGCGGCAGCTCCAGCTTCTTCGAACGCCAAGCTGGATGCCACACTCAAGGAGATGGGCTTCCAGCAAAGTGCTCACGAGGCGGCAATGTACCGGTGGGGCAGTGGACGCTCTGTCCTGCTCGTCGACGTCTACGTCGACGACCTGATCATCACCGGCGCAGAGGATCGAGAGATGGAGGCATTCAAGGCTCAGATGAAGAAGACTTTCGACATGAGTGACCTCGGCCTCCTCAGCTTCTACCTCGGCGTCGAGGTGCATCAAGATGCCACCGGCATCACCCTCCGTCAGACACATTATGCCAAGAGGATTCTGGAGCTCGGCGGAATGGCTGGCTACAACCCTGCCCATACTCCAATGGAGGAGCGGCTAAGGCTTAGCAAGCACAGCACAGCGGCGGAGGTCAATCCCACACACTACCGGCGCCTCATCGGCAGTCTGCGCTACCTGGTGCACACTCGCCCCGATCTGGCATTCGCTGTTGGCTTCGTCACCAGGTTCATGGAGCGGCCTACGGTGGAGCACCAACAAGCTGTCAAGCGCATTCTCCGCTGTCGCTGGCACGCTCGACTACGGTCTGCACTTCACCAAGGCGTCGGGCTCCACTCGCTTTGTCGGCTACTGCGCCAGCGACCTCACCGACGACATCGACACAAGCAAGAGCACGAGTGGAACACTCTTCTTCCTCGACAATTGCTTGGTCAGCTGGCAATCAATCAAGCAGAAGGTGGTGGCGCTCTCCAGCTGCGAAGCAGAGTACATTGCCACTTCTACTGCTGCAACCTAGGCTCTGTGGCTCTCAAGGCTGCTAGCAGAGCTCCTCGGCAGGCATGTCGAGGTGGTGGAGCTGAAAGTGGACAGCAAGTCGGCCCTCGCTCTGGCCAAGAATCCAGTCTTCCATGAAAGGAGCAAGCACTAAGTACCACTTCATCCGCAGCTGCCTGGAAGATGGAAGCATCAAGGCCGATCACATCTCAATTACTGATCAGCTTGTAGACATTCTCACCAAATCCTTGGGCAGAGCCAAATTTGAAGAGATGAGGGAGAGAATTGGTCTGAGGCAGATCATCCCCAAGTTTGCTTTTCACTGTCTAGCTAAGGGGGAGAATTGAGGGTTTAGCCTAGTGTTTACCCATGTATCTAGTTATCTACTTATCTATTTACTATTTACTGCCTAGCTGTTTTCAGGTGCCTTAGCATCCAAGCTAGCATCTACTTTATACACTAGAATATGATGTAGTAGTTGAGAACTTCTTGTATCCCAAGTTTGCTTTTCCTATATAATGCAATCAAGCGGCAAGTGCCAAGCTGCCCTCTGGCAGGAGAAATTCCACTTGTCTAGCTACTTACTTGCAACACAAACGTCATTACTATTTTTCGATAGCTAAGCTAGTAGCTTACACTTGAGCATGGGTAGAAGGACGTACTATTGTTTCTGATAGGTACCTTACACTTGAGCATGGGTAGAAGGTCGTACACCATGGACCATATGTCCCACCTTACTCTCATGCTCATATGCAATGCAAAGTGACAGGTACAAGTGGAGTACTACTACTAGATGCAGCCGGGAAGGATGATGAAAGGAGATTGTACTAACCCAGCAACCAGCTCAAGAAGCTGGGGAAATAGCTCGGATTCTCTGAGCTTGATTATCTCAGAAGTGGTGGTCTCGATGGACTGGTTGGCAACCAGCATCTTGGACTCTAGGCTCTCAATCTCCATCTTGTTCTTCTCCATCTTCAAGTAATCCACACCCTTCACCTCTTGCTTCCTCAACAGACTGACCTTCTTATCATGCTCCTGCTTATACCCCTCATAACTCTGTTTGCAGTTAAAAAGAAAAAAAGTCATAATCCTATCAAAAGGCACACAAAGATGGTACCTTTAAAGTTGTATATAAAGCTACAATAACATGATTGCTTAACAGATGTGAACATGTGATCAGAGTAGTACAAAAATCTATCTTCATCATGACAAAGAAAAATAGGCAATCAGAATTCAGGGATAGCAAAATGGTTATCAACAAAATACAGTTGAACATGAAATCAAATCTTCACAGCCCCATTCAGATTCAGTCATTCAGCCAAACATGTTTGTACAGTAAGGATAAAATAAACCATGAAGGTGATCTACTGATCTTTCTAGTTGGAAGAATCCAAAAGCATGCTGGGTTTCATCTTTGAAGAAGCTCCTGACAGGGGAGAGAAATAAAATAAAATACCGACAATGCAAGCAACACCCACGTGCATTGCGCACTACACGTCCTTGTGTCCACTACCTTTCTTGTTTCTTCAGACAAAACCAATTGCCACCACGGCTGAATCATTGTTAGCAGCATTCCCCATCACAGGCCATAGGCGAACAGATCAAACTACGAGCAACAGAACAAAAGGAACCCCCCTCAAAAGCACTTCGCCACTCACTCACTCACGCAGTCACACACTCACACTCCTTTAGATCTGAAGAATCAGCCAGTATGTTTCGATCATTCTGTATGTTCATGCTAATACTAAATGAGAAAGAAAAGGTTAAATCCACTGTCACTACTAAAGTTAAAGAGCAAAGAAGGAACTACTCTTACCTTGACCTCAAGAAACAGCTTCTTCTCCCATGCGTAGAGCTTCTCCACGGTGGATGAATGACTGAGCATTCCACCGCCTCCGCCATTGCCGTCTCCTCTCCCAAACCTTGTGAACCCATTGTTACCTTTCCCATACCCTCCTCCTCCGCCCCAGGTCCATCCCATGGGCTTCAAGCTCTTGCTGTAACTCAGTACCTTCCCTGCAGCAGAAGTAAAGAAAAGGATTCCTCGGCAATAAGCAAAATGTGGTCAAGAACAAACAATCTATAGAACAGTTTAACTGATTTGTTGAAGAAAAGGGCATGCCTGGTAGGCTGCTGTTGGTGGTGGGCTCGGGGGGCTCGCAGACGGGGGCCTCGAGTAGCGCAGCAACGCGGGCGCCGGCGTCGGCTGCCTTGAGGAAGTACTCATCAAGCTCGGTGGCGATCTCCGCGAGGTCCTTCTTCCCGGCGCCTCCGCGTGGTACCGCGACGACGGTGAGCTCGCTGGGAGTGGTGGAGGTGGTGGTAGCGGTGACGATGGAAGGGGGCGCGGCCACCGCCGCCGCGGCCGTGACGACGGGCGGCGCGGCGGCGATGGGCGCGTCGACGACGGTGGTGGCGGCGTCGTCCCAGTCGGCGCCCTCGGTGGCGGAGCGGGAGGAGGAGGGCGCGAAGGGGTCCCAGAAGTCCCAGCTGGACGGCATTGGCGGCGGCGGCGGAGGGGGCAAGATCGCAGACGCGGAGATCGAGGAGGAATTTGTCGTCCAGGACCTGGTGGTCGGGGAGGGGCTGAGCGGCGGCGGTGGCGGCGGGGGAGGCGGCGGCGGCGTCGCGGGCGGCGTCGGGGACGGCAGCGTCCCGTGGTGGTGGTGGGCCACGGAGGAATGGGGGCGCGGGTGGTCGGACTCGGCGCTGGCGAAGTGCAGCAACGAGGCGCCGGTGGCCCGGAGCGCGCGCAGGTAGAGCGCGTGCGCCGCAGCCATGTCCCGCCGCGCCTGCACCAGGTGCCTGGTGTACCGCCGGCGCGCCTTGCACCGCGACACCGCCTCCAGCCGCTCCAGCCGCGACTGGCAGCAGCCCATCGCCGCTCCGGTTCCGGCGCTCTCTGATCACCACCACAGCACAGTACCACACCAGCTCTTCTTCCCCCAATCCTCCCCCCACTCTCCCAAACCCAGCACCCCACGGGAACGCAGGTAGTAACCGTTGTGCGACACAACCAGAGCAGGAGGCTACTGCTGTAGCACTAGTACCCGACCTCTGTCTCCTCTGCCCTCTCTCTTCTTCACAGCCCACGAGTCCTCGCTCCTTTTACCGTCTTGCCATTTCTGCTGCTGGAGCACACTAGTAGAACAGTGAGTGAGGAGTGACCGAGTGAGGGCCGAGAGATCCTTTGTACGCGTGCCGCCTGTGACAACAGGTGTGTGTGCAGCAGCCCTGCACGGCACCGGTGGCGGTGAGGTGGTCCACCAGAAGTAACCGATCGAATGCGGTGCGGCCCGAGTAAAAACAGCGAGGCATGAGGTTTCGGGCAGTGTGCGGCGCGACCTTGGTCTTTCTCTGGGTTCCCCAAATCCCTGAACCACCCCTGCCTTTGCACGTGCCCGTCGGCCAGACCGGGGGCAGCGTTGGAAAATCCGCAGCTCCAACGGTCGCGCCGCGCGGCTGGGAGGCTTCGGTCGTGCCTCGTGCGGCCGGGGGCGGTTTCCGGCTTTCCGCTCGGCGTTTGGGTGTGGAGCGGACCGGCTGCGTGCCGTGCCGCTCCGCCTCGGCGGACGGACGGCGGGCGTGGAGCGAGGCCGGGGGCTTTTTGGTGGGCCGCAGACCCGCAGTGGCGTTCTGGCCTTCTGGGGCTCGGTTTTGCTGTTTTTGAGCCGCGGCACGCGTCTTTTGCAGAAAGCAATTCGAAAGGGACGGGCCGTGGTGCTCTGCTGGAGGAGGCTGGGAGCGGAGTGTGAGAGATTGGCAGTTGCTTGCGGTGGGTGCGCTCAGCAGAGGCTGCGCTGCGGGGTGCCGGGGTGGCGACGGCTTTTTTGATGATTGACCACCACCGTTGCGATTTCAACCTGGGGGGACGTGCTGCTGATCTGGTTCGGGTTCGGGCGGACGGCGCCCGCGCCACAGACATTTGAGCAATCCTAGGTTTGTCAAGTTTGGGACCTGGAACGTGGGAATTTTTTTTCTTGTTTCTGTATTTTTTCTATAAAATTTCTGTGCAGTTTTTGTAAGATTTCTGCGTCCCAAACAGACTGAGAGCTTGCTACGCCAAACATTTGGCAACCAAGGAGAAACTAACAAACGTTAAGAGCACTACCATTTTTCCATAACGCAGTATAGATGTGAACGGTTACTCACCTCCTATGTAACGCACGCACACAGTCTATCTCCATAAGCACCTTAACAAGAATGAGCTAGACGGAGACGTCGCCAAGCACTAAAAAATAATGTTATTAAATCTAGAAAAATACGAGCACTCATATCAAATCCAGACGAAGATAGCAACGTCCTCGTTGATGCTGTCAATTTTCACTCTGTTAGCGCAAATACTCCCTTCGCTTGCCACATATTGATTCCGTTATTTTTTCACATTTGGTGCAGTTCCTGCAGACTATGATATTGAACCGGAGTCTCGCATGACAGAACAACATGCCACGTAACAAGCTCAGTGTCATCTTCGGAGAAAGGAAGAGGAGATGGCTGACATGAAAAAGAAGTTCGAACAAATGGGTGGGCTGGTGAGTGAGCTGGAGAGCATGATCTAGAGGCTCTGTTAGTGTAACATTCCAGATATTAAAAAGCAATTAAAACTTGATCATGAGCATCATCATGTATAATCATCAAGCATTATAACATAAGTGCATTTTATGTTTCAATTATTGCTTTCATATGTTGCTTGTGAGGTGTTTCATATGTTACATGAAATGATGTTAATAATAATGTTTAATGCTCTTTGTGAATTTTATATATGAGAAATTGTTTAAAACAATTAAAATTTTGTTAAAATGAAATTTGTAGTACAAAGTGTGCTTTATAATGTAGAATCAAAGTATGATGATGTTTCCAAACCAAACATGATGAAATTGGACTCCAAAGATTGAATTTAATGTTGTTTTCCCTCTTAGCATTTTGGCTAAGTCATGAAAATCAATACTAAGTTCAATTTTGGGAGATTTATTAAATCAACTTTCTTAAATAAAACTTGCCCAACTTTTCCTTCATTGATTGGAGTAATGCTTGTTCTCTGGTGATATGTAATTAGTTGATAGATTTGATAGATGGTTAACCTCTAATTAAATCCCAAAATTTGTTAACCAAAACTTCTTTTCAAAACCCTAACTGAAGATCTGAAGTTCAGTTTCAAGCCACCTATGTTCTTGACCTTGGATCTCTCCATCTAGTGAGAAGGTTCTTAAAGAAAAGTTGAAATGCATCAACCTGATCAAGTTTTATTCTTGAAGATCATCGAGTTGCTACTTGGAATCTGGAGAAAATAGAAGGAGAAGGGAAGGGTTTCAGTCGGCTACAGTACTACACCGGCAGCAGCTCGGCTGTCTGCTCACCGCCGTGACCATTTTCGCCGCTACCTCGCACGCGGGCACGTAGCTGTTTCGGTGGCAGTGTCGCAAGCAGCTGTTGGACGTCTTGAGCCTTCGCCATCGCCTTCATATCACGGAGCCGGCCGTTGCCTCCTCTCTTTTCCCTTTCTTGCCGCCGTCGAGCCCTTCTCGCTCAATGGCGCAATTCACCGCCGCCATAGCACCTGCGCCCAATTACTCGCGGTCGCAACTCTGCCTTGCCCTTGCGCTCCTCGCTCAACAGCTCGCGACACCTGCCTTTCGCCGGAGTCGGCCGCGCGCATCGTTCTCGCCGCGGCTGTGCCACCATCGCCGCCGTGACCCCTCACCGTGGCTAGGCCACTTTGAAGCACCTCTTGCTACTCCGTCTCTTGTTTCGTATTCCTGGTTTTTCCGTAAAGCTCATCGGCTCTTCATTTTTACCTCTACCGCACAGGACGCGATGGAACGCGATCGTCTTCTCCAGTTCCGGCCACCGCACCCGCCCTCGCTATCGCCAACCCTCTCCGACGTGTCCCCGCCTCAGCTAACAGGAGCATCGAACTCAAGGTGAGCTCCTGGTGCTAACCACGTCTCCCGTTTAGACTCTACCGGGTCCTAGTGACCGAAGCGCCGCCGCACCGACGTGCTCTGCCTCGACGAGCCGCCGCAGTCGCGGGCAAACGCGTTGCTAACCTACGCGCGTTCAACTGATCCCTTGGACGTGTTCGCGTAGCCGTCGTGAGTGTGCTGGTGACCGTCGTGACGCCGGAGACCTCACCATCGGTCACGTTCGTCGCGCCAGAGCGCCGCCGGGCTGCCATGGCCATCGGTGTGCTGGCTGCCATGTCCTAGATGCCCGTCTAGTGACATAGGTGTGTGCGCGAGGGAGAGGGGAGTCCGCCGGGGTGGCTCTCGTCGCTGGCGAGCTCGCCGCCACAAGTACCCACCGGTCAGCCGGTCGGGCGTCGCGGTCAACGCGGCCACGACGCGCTGTTGACCGGGCCCCTACTGTCAGTGGTTGGGGGTAGGGGAGAGGAGAGTGAGAAAAAGTTTTAACCGGTTTTATGTTTTTCAGAAAATGATTAAATGTGCTGATCTTTGTTTATTTCATAACTAAATAAGTAATGATTATAAAAATGTGAAACTTTTTGTGTAGCTTTGTTATGTGAAGCTATACCATGGAAAATATGAAATGGTCATTTTCAGTAGTTTTGTTATGCTTAAAAATTACATCTTTTAATTAATAAATGGACCTTGCATAATTTTTATAGATTAAAATAATTAACCTTTAATCATGAAACTTTTTGTGAATGCTTTACATGCTTATACCTGACTTCACAAAAAGATTGGTACTGTTTTGATAATTCTAAATTAGTTGATTAATTTAAGTGTGTTTAAATGCCTTTTTTAATTAAATAAATACCAAAATGATTTATATAAATACTTAAATGACTTGGGTGTATTTGATACTTTGATTGTAGACCTTGGAACACCTAACCCCTGCTATTCTTTGGCAACTTAATTCCTTTCTTGATGTGCTCATAATTAACTTGCTAGTTAATAAATAAAATAGTTTACTCAAATGACTAATTAGTAAATACATGTGTTTAGGTCATGAAATGATCCTTGCCTGTCCTTATGGTTGATCTTGTGTAATGTTAGTTAAATACCTTGTCTTTTTTTGACTAGTATATGATAAGTGTTGCTTTTTTAATAACCACATAATCAACTTATTTATATAATAAATAAAATAGCTTAATTAGTATTTAGTTTTATAAGTTCCTTATAATGATCTTGAGTTAAGAAATATGTTAATCTCTTGCTGATCCATGTTAAGTTATGCCTTTCATGATAAACAACTAATTAACTTAATAGTTAATTAACTACAATGCTTTTATAATAAACAAACCCTAGTTTCTTGTGAAGGAAAGTTGTACTCAACTTTTTTAACCTTGTTTATCTTCTGTTATGCACTTGTGTATCTCTCATCATGCATCATGGCATGTAGTCCATCATGTTAAGCCAAGCATCATTTATTACGTGTAGTGTACGAGAGTGAGAAGACTCGTGTTGATCAAGTTTTAGGGAAGGTTCATCCACCCATGGTGTTGGTGCCAAGTTTGACCTTAGTAGTCCTTCTGTGGAACTAACCTTCTCTACAACGCAGGCAAGCCCTAGTGCATACCACCCTTCTATAGCATTTATAAAATCTTTATTACACTTTAAGTCTTGTGCGATGTGCATTAAGTGAATAGAAATTGGTTAAATACCGTTGCTGTATGATTACCTTGATATTCATATTTTCCTAGCTGTACCCCACTAGTTGGTGTAGGTCGATATCTCTTATGCTTAGTAATGCTTAGACTTCGGTAAAAGTCGAATTATGGTTTCATCATTCGCGAGAAATAGGTTTTACCATGTTCTTCTCAACCCTGCTGAAGGTTCATGTGAATACACTGATATTGATAATGTTAAATTGAGACCGGACAGACTCTTTGTTTGCGTCAAGTTTGAGTCTTAACGTA